TATAGTTCCGAAGTTAGCACGCTTTGGCTTGATGCACGACGCTTCTTCATGTAAATCAATTTTATTTACTTTATCTTGATTTGTTTAAAATGTTTATTTATTATGTTTTATCTTGGATTTACGAGTATTTCCTTTATTTCCGACGTGACAACTTAGATACTTATTCGAAGTTTGAGGTTGTTGCTTGAAGTAGAAATCCAAACAAAATGCAAATATTGCACGGTAATGACATTTATTCATGTTTTATTTTCTAAATTATTTATTGCATACTAATACTATTTTTTTTAGAAATATTACAATTTTGAATTCACAATTGATTATTGTTCATTACTACAGTATGTGCAAGAGAAGCATCCGATTGACTCCCACTCTCCTCAAATATAAATGCCACCGTTGATCGAAGACACGTTTAAATATACCGATATGGAACTAAACATGTTTCAATTATTGGACGACACACGCGCAATGCGTGTAAAAAGAATGGTTCGATTTAAACGTCGATGATTTCTTCAATAATAATTTGAAGTTAAAAATGTTTTAGTGTTTTAAATTATATATTTTTTTTGTATTTTTGAATTTAAATTTAAGCTCAAGTTTTTTCAAGTTTTAATTTACTTTTTTTTTCTCTTTATTGTAATTCTTAAAAAAAATTGAAAACACGGTTTGAACCCGGACCCAGACCCACCTCCCACGGGTCTGTTTCGGGTCCCCTAAAATTTGGACCAGGACCCGGACCCAACCCGACCCGTGGTCATGTCCATGCTAGATTGTGTGTTGCTGCAATTTTAGATCAACGTCATTCATGTGACGTAAACGCTACAACAATGATGAAGTTCTTTCCCACATGAGTAACAACAATTTGTTTTTTCCGATAGAGGCATTTGATACCTATATCAAAATGAAATTATCATTAACTGGTTGTGAAAATAAATTATCAATTATGACGGTTGAAGTTTAACGAATTATTACTTGTTTGTTTTATAAGTATAATCCACAAGTATTACGTGTTGGCTTTGGTAAGTATTATCTTTCTTTGTTTGTTCGAAACCATTTTTTATGTTCACTTTCATTCACTTGGTGCCACATAAATTGCATAGTTGTTTTCCCTGCATTTCGTCTCGACTCATTTTCAAACATACATTATACATATCACTCAAGTTTGCCGCCATGTCCGGGACCTCTTTTCTTAAACGACCCAAAATTCTCTTTGACTTTACGTGTCTTTCAACTTGCTGTTGGGGCTAAATACCTAACACGCAAGTGCACGTATCGCAAACAAGTAGTAAAGTGGACTCGTGAGAGTCGGATGTCGATCCCACAGGGAATACTCAAATTATTTAATCCTAAGTACCAAATTTTAACAACTATGATTTTTATCCAGCCTACGCAAATTTGTCAATTTAAATCAATTAAACAATTAAACTAATTAAGAAAGCAATTAAACACGAGAAAATATCAATATAAAAACGGATCTAGGATTTTATCTTCCCCTATGCGATAATTCTTCACCCAATTAATCTTCTATCACGCAAGTTACGATTCCCGATTATTAACCCAAGACACTCAATTACTCATAACCCGCTGTCGCGTGTATTATGAGTCTATTATTAATAACCGATTCACTATATGTCTATGCAAACCAATTATGAATAAAGCATTAAATAACAAGTCTCGTAAACGGCTACCTAAGGTATTATCTATATGTCTACGATAATACATGCAATTAACACACTCATCCAGTGAAAACTACTCGAAGGCTCTTCTATCCCTGTTCTAATTATTAAAACGATCTGTCAATCAATTCTAACAATAACACATAGCACATAAATTAGCTACGTTCATGCGCTAAATAAGATCAAAATAGAAGAAATAATCGAAGAAATTAAACTTGCATAATAATAGAAAAATAGGTTCGAATTACCACATAGGGTTCCAACAAAATCCTAGATAAAAAGAACTTAGCTACTCATGTTCTCTACGAAAAGCATAATAAAAATACGAAAGTTCATAAAAATCGAGAAATAAAAGTAAAAAGGGAGAACTATGATGAAGATTCGTCAAGTCTTCGTTGCTCCGTTCTCTTGCTCCTAGATTGCGTGTGTAAAAGATAGATTCCTAATTGTGTGCTTTTTGGCCTTTAAATAGGGTGCAAAAATATAAGAGGGCGGTTTCCTTGTGTAATTAAACTTCCTTCCCTGCGCCACTTCGTGAACCCAGACGGCCGTGCGAGAATTAGTTCTTAAATCCGGACGGCCGTCCGGTCTTTAATTCTTCAGAGTTTTGATTTTTCTACTTTTGGCCCACTTTTTCTCCGAATTTGCAGTTTTTACCCCATAAGTTGCCAATTCTTCAATTTGTACCTAAAATACAAATAATAACCATTTTAAGCACCAATTATCGTTAAAACACACCAAAAGCTCCAATTAAAAGGTGCAATTAAGTGTATAAATGTACACTTAACACTTGCTCTTTAGTCAAACGACTAACCAGGTCTAGGAAGATATAGTTACAGGACGTGACTATCATAGATATTTTTTAAGCATAGGTCCCAAGTTCTATCACGGTTCATTGTACCTTATAATCGGAAGGGATATACAAATTTATTGGTCCCAAACTTTTGAAAACTTTGCATATCTACTTTCTTTGTTGTTTCTGTATAAGACCTATGACTCGTTTTATATGAACTAATGGAGTGGGTAGATTGATATATCAATAAATGACCGTGACTATTGACAATATTCTTCGTCCAATCAATTAATTGTTCTCTATTCTCGATCATAGTGGAAATGTTAAAATACTGACTATAATCATGTAACTCGAACTTGTTAATAACTATCATCAACATCTATTTGTACTTGTTCTCCTGCATCAAACAAATAACAATTACAGAAAATAAACAAAAAGTAAACGCAAAAAATATAGTTTATGTGGTTTGGCACAAACTCGTGGTTAGGGTTCGTGTCAAATCACATGAACCAATTACAATGTGATCGTATGATTTTGTCACCAACTCTAAACACAAGTTCGTGCCAAATCACACAAACTATTTTTGTTTTCTTTTAATTTAAATAGTTTTTAACAAAAAAAGAAGAAAACAACTCACGAGTTCGTGTAAAATAGCACGATCCCAAAGCTCGAGTTTGTGCCATTTCACGTAAGTCGATGACTTTTAGTTATTTTTTCTCTAATTTGCGTGTTTCAGCACGAACTTGAACCTAAGAGTTCTTGTAGATCTCCAAGAACCAATACCAAGAAAACAAAAATCGAGTTTTACAAAATTCTACCTCTAAAGACGTGTTGTGAGGATCCATTTCGATAATTATCCTTCAATCAACATTTTAGCCCGCATTATCATTCAATCAACATTTGAATTACTCTGGTAGTAGACGTTAGATCGAGACGATGATGGTCTTTCGATTGCTTTTGCCTTGTAACTTCATTAATTTCATTTATCAGTAGATGGAGTAGATGGAAGTCTTGTATAATATAATAATAGAAGTTAGATATGGCAAACTTGTGAGATAGGAGAGTCCACTCTACAGGCTATTAGTACCACAATTTACATTCACTTACTCTCGGTCTTTTTAATTCAAAGAACAATGACAAATTGAGGATTACTACTCATCTATGTTTTAGTTTTTTTTTCCCCAAGGAAAAAAATATAATCGTTGTAAGGATAAACAACATTAAATCGCCTAAATTTTGCCAGTTTTTCCTGGATCACCACATCAACAAAAAAAAATTCGATTCCACCTGAAAATCCTCAACCAGTTGGGTTTATAAAAGGGGCAACACAAAAATCAACAAACCATTAACAAAGAATTAACTTTGGTGAATAAATAGAAATATATTTACGTAATCTTTACTAATATATTATTAATACATCTCAGGATATAATTTTCTTTACCAAATATTGATACACATAGACATCTTATCGCAAGTTGACTTTTAAATTCCACGACAAAC